AAATTATTTTCCAAGCCATTCCTTGAAAACACTTGGAATTGTTTTTCCCATTTACTGTGCCTTTGCTCAGTCAGTACCAGTGCTTGGCCTTCTCACCAGTTCAGCCTTTAGTCAATCTTTCCAGGCTTAACTATATGGTCTTTTCCATGGGGCCTTTTCCGGCGTCCCAGTCAGACAGGATATCTGTCTTTACTGTGAGTTCTGCTTGCCCTTTCTTTGTTCGCCCAGGTTGCCTTGTCCTCAGGTTAATCGTATGACTCTATTATCTCCCCTAGTAAAATGCAAATTCTATGTTTGGGCATCTCATGTCTTGTGCAGGAACACTTAATACATATGGAATGAAAGCAATGACAGAAGACTGAATGTTCTAACTTAATCAAGAGATTTCTACATGGGCTGTAAAGTAGACAGTGCACCTGGAGCATCAGATTTCTTACAGGAACTTTGGAGACGTGCTGAATGTCATTCAGTTCACAGTGAATTTCTCCTCTCTGCAGCTAATGAAAAGCAGTACTACCATTTCTGGATTCCAGATTTAGGAAATCAGGAAACACATGTATGTGTACCAATCTTAAAACTGTCCCAAAGCTACTATGGGCTTCCCAGGTGGCGCTAGTGGTAAAGAATCCTGCCAATGCAGCGAGAGACCCAGGTTTGATCTCTGGGTCAGGAAGATCACCTGGAGAAGGAAATGGCAACCCATTCCGGTATTCTTGCCTGGAAAATCCCATGGACAGAGGAACCTGGCTGGCTATGGTCCACGGAGTCGCCAAGAGTTGCCCACACTTGAGCGACCAACACTTTCACACTTTTTATACTACTAGTAGCATAAGTAATTTTTGTCTTCTCGCAGATAATTTCATATTTCCTTCTTCAGAAACCCCCACTCAAGTGTATCACTTCCCTGTTGATATCACTCTTGCTCTATTTCTTTTTAAAATTTTGTTGCTTTCTAGACGTAAGTAAATGTCCGTGTTATGTTAACAACTTAGTGTTTGTCTACAATACTAATAACTGCAAAATTGTCTATATGCTATATTATAGTAAATGCTCTAATGCCACTAGTAATATCTAAGCCCTGCTGGTTGACTAATTCAAATGGTAGTTGGATTTTCCTTTATTTTTAATATGCTTCATAGTTTCACACCCAAATGCCTTTGATCAGTTTTATCCTTCAGCCCTCAACTGTTGTACTTCCGTGAGGGCTTCACAGACAATGGAAAATTAAGCATTTTTCTTGATACTTTCAGCTCAGTCTCTCATTCTTGCTCTCTGTTCTTTTCTCCCCTATGCTCTTTCTCTAAATTATTATAGTTTATTTAAAGAATGTGAGTCTCACCTCCTCTCCATAACGTCAAAGGCTTTTTGAGTGTCAGTGAATGTGTATTTGGGTATAGAAAACCCTTCCATCTGAATGGAAAATAGAGTGATGGGAGAGTGATGGGGCATGACTGGAGAGGAAGTTTATGTTTGGATTATGAAGGACCCTAGTGTGAATGCCAGTGACATTGGATTTTTGTCTTACAAGTGAAGCGAAGGCCATTTGCATCACTCTAGCAGGGCAGAGAATAATCTTGCAGGAGGGATGGTGGCAATAAGTGTAGAGCTAGAAAGACTAGTTATAATGTTTAGTACAATAGTCTAGATCAGCGTTTCTCACTACAAAAAGAAATGTATTTGACATTGTGACCAGGGAAAGAACAATCTTACTTTGATTGGTACTTACTGCCCGTCTCTATTCTAATTTCATTGAAAAATGCTATCCTGCACAACCTAAGTTAATTTCAGACCCTGCTAACTATATACAACCTGCAACTTGAAAATCACTCATTTAGATGAATAATGTGTGTGTGTGTGCACTTAGTTATGTCCTACTCCCTGGCCCCATGGACTGTAGCCCGCCGGGCTCCTCTGTCCATGGAACTCACCAGGCCCAGAATACTGGAGTGGGTTGCCATTTCCTACCCCGGAGGATCTTCCCAACCCAGGGATCAAACGTAAGTCTCTTGCATCTCCTGCATTGGCAATCAAATTCTTTACCACTAGATTCGTTTACCATTGAAGGCCCAAATGAAGTTGATGGCATCAGATTGAGAGAAGTTGCAAGTGAGAATAAGTAGGAAACTGGAAGTGAGATAGCTGGATGATTTATTGGGTTTGGGCACATGGAATAACCAAGAATAACTGGTTTTCCTGTTATTCCTGATAGATGATAGTACCGTCAAGTTTAAAGATTGACAGAGTAGAAAAGAGCAGTCAGTTTTGAATTAAGAAATTAAATTCAGTTTTAAATACACCACCTCTGATTTCTGTAGGAAATGTATAGTCAGGGCAAGATGTAAGAATTGGAGATACAGTTTTAGGAATCAGCACGTGGCTGATAGTAACAACAGTGGGGGAGACTAAAGTGAATTTGCATATCATGAAAAGAAAGAACACTGAGTGAATTGTGAATAAAACCAGCATTGAAATGGGAGGTTGGGGGGGAAATGCAGTGAAGGAAACTGAGAATTAATATTCAAAGGGCCAACTAAGGAGGGAAGAGATGATACAGCTTCACGAAAAGAGCCATCAACTGTATCCCATGCTGCAGACATAGTGGATATAGTTTTCTGGTTGCTGTGGGCAATCGTTGTCAGCATTTTTCAGGATAATAGTTGGACCTGAAGAATAATTGCAGTGGATTAAGGAGAAAATGGAAATTATGATGTATTACAAACAAATTTTCATCAAGATCCACTTTAAATTGAAAAGAAGAGAGATGTAGGCTGAGATATCTATTAAGATGAGAGCATTTTACTCAACATTGTGTCCAAAGCACAGAGGACACAGTAGGTGTGTTGACTATACCCGAAGTGCCATAGAGATAGGACAGACATAATCTCCTATGAGGAAATTTAGGCTGGAGTTACACGGTGGACTGGTACCTGAAACTGGAAAGTCATCAAGAACAAAACAATTCTAGGACCTGCCATTCTTCCCACTTCTCTCAAAGCACTGTTGTTTTCTTTGTGTCTGCTGTATACTCTTTTTGTCAATCTCTTTTAAAAGTTTTCCATAATCCGTATCCTAGAGGAGCTAGCTCAGTTGGTTTGGAAAAACATCATTATCTCCTTTGGGCCAAGCCTGCAAGCCAGGTTGCTTCCCCAGCCTTGCTCAGAATTATGGATGGCTCAACCTACTTTTGATCCAGTGAGTGGCCAGAATTTACCCAAAAACAAGGCTAACATATTTGACTTGTCCAATAAAATATATTTCTACACATTTTGCTACAAAACACCTGATTAGATCTGGATCATTCTAAAGTGTTTTGCTTTACACATTCTCTAGTTTGTAACAGGAGCTTCTCAGGTTGCCCTACTGGTAAAGAACCCACCTGCCAATGCAGGAGACATAAAGAGTTGCAGGTTCAAGCGCTGGGTCAGGAAAATCCCCTGGAGGAAGGCGTGGCAACCCACTCCAGTATTCTTGCTTGGAGAATCCCATGGACAGGGGAGCCTAGTGGGCTATGATCCATAGTGTCATAAAGAGTCGGACATGACTGAAAATTGTTTGAGCTCATGAGAAAACATTTACAACTGGGCTTTGTACCATATACCCTATTCTTTTTTCACAATAACATTTCACCACTGAATGCCTTATGTACACGTATGTGTATGTATGTATTTGCACAGTGAGAGTTAACCAAGTAGGGAACCATGGGCCATTTCTTAAGGAGTTTAAAAAAGAAAGTGTCAATCACTCAGTCGTGTCTGACTCTTTGCAACGCCTTGGACTGTAGCCCACCAGGCTCCTCTGTCCACGGGGATTCTCCAGGCAAGAACACTGGAGTACGTAGCTGTTTCCTTCAGGGGATCTTCCGAACCCAGAGGTCAAACCTGGGTCTCCTGCATTAAAGGCAGATTCTTTACCATCTAAGCTACCAAGGAAGACCCCTTAGGAGTTTAAGCTGGATACAAATGCAGTTATCACTAGGTTTTTAAGCAGTTGGTTATATAAAGACCTAACTTCTCATTGTAATGTTATTTATTTCGCTTTTCTGTATTGTACCAATTCAGGAGAATTTTAAGTATGGTGAGAAAAAGTGCACACATCAATATCTGAGACACTGTGCTTACACCCCTAGTTATCTATTTTGAAGTAATTACCACTTCTCTAAAGCTTCTGTCTTGAAGTCATTTTTATGAAGTAAAATTAATTCATTACTTATTCTACTCTGAATATTATCATGGAAGTTTAAAAATTCATTCTTGGGAAATTCTTATTGCCCAAGTAAGTTTATTTGAGGAAATGAATTATCATCTAAAATGTAATTATTTCTTTCTAAAGGACTTAGTAATCGCTGTCTTTTAATGTTGTATTTTCACTTCTGTTGCTTAGCTAAACTTAGCAGGCTTGCTTTCTTATGTGTAGTACCAGCATAAATAAGAATAGGGTTTTAGTTCTACTAAATACAGTAACCAGTGATAAGAAAAAAAAATACAGCACCGATTACAACAGAATAGTAATTAAAAGGCAAGAATCCTGCAGGAGCAATGGTGGAAGGTAAGGTGATTTTTCTGAGAGTGTTACTGATCAGAAAATAAAGAAACAATTGACGTAGGAGTGGAGCAAAGAAGTCAAGAAACCAAGGAACATAAAACTGAAGTCAATATGTTCTTTCTCAGCAGGCTTCATATAACAACTATTGTGGGAAATGTTTGCAGGGCCAAAGACACTGGGGTGCTCCCTGCATTCAAGCAGTGCTTTATGGGGGGTTAAAATTTAAAATGAAGGGGCAAATCAGGGCATGATGAGAAATAATCCTGTGTTTAGTCATGTGACCTTTTCTGCATTTAGTAATGTGATCGTGTTATTAAATATAACTGAGAATTGTCTTTCTCTTGATTCCTTTGGACTGTACTTTAGGTATAAGATAGCATTTCTAAGCTGTCTTAAATGCTCTGAAAATGTTTTTGAATGTTTCATCGTTTTGAATGTTCTATGTTTTTGTGTTTTAGCTATGAAGATGGCCAAGTGGGAGACGCAAATATTAACACCCAAGAAGGAGGCATTCACAAAGAGATCCTACGAGTAATTGGTAATCAAACTGCTACTGGTTAAAGGACCACCATTTAATTAACATGATTTGAAAGCCTTCCTCGGGTTCAAAGCTGGATTTTGAACTGAAGAAGATGATAAAATAATTTATTGTTATTATAAACAAAATGAACCCTTTGAATACTGATTTTTTTCTTAGTATTTCTAAGTATATCATTAAATACCTAAAATGGTATATAATTTACCAATTGTAGGGTTATGGAATCTAGTAATAAAATTACAACAGCACTTAAACTGAAGTTTGGGTTCCTCACACAATAAACAGATTGAAAAAACAGTTCTGTGCTGATATTTTTATATTAAACTCTCTAATTGGAAATTTAATATTATATACCGACATCTTAGGGTACCAAAAGAGAATTGAAAGCATTTTATAATGGCGTCTAAATCTATAAGAGACTTTGCAATAAGTATAATGTTTGCACATTCTGATGTGCTATATAATTAGCAGTATGAAAGTTCGAATGTTTTGGGGAGGGATGTTTCCTAATCTGTTATTTTTCCTTATATAAAAACAATTAGGTCTTTAGATGCAGCGCTTTGCCTAAAAGTATGTAATATACATATCTATAGATTCATGCATAAAATGTCTGATTGTGCATATATGTGTGTATGTACACATATATGTATTTTAACAACAAAGATGGCATAGCTCTACAGTTCTGTTCTCATTCAATGGAAAGAAAATAATATTCAGTAAGAAAATGATGTTCTCTCTGGACATAAACCAAGATATGAGCCAAATTCATCACCATTCATTCACTGAAAATATTTGCAAACAAATTTTCTATTTGTTTAAAGAATTTTCCCTTCAGTTGAACTCTTTATAATGTTATAATGTTGTAATCTGGGGTATGTAGACACCCCTGGTGGACTAAATCTGTATTCGAATGATCATATGTTTAAAAGAAAGACCTTGAATTTAAACAAACAGTATATATATATTTTTATTTCCTACAATGGAATATTTTTTACATTTATTTATACCACACCAGCCTTTTTGTATTTTTTCATTTAAGACCTGTGCTTAGTTTGTTTTTCATATTGAGAAAGAAGACAAACTTTGAAATTTCTTTTATATTAAAAGAATATGAATACTTTTACAGAGAACAGTAACACCAGCTCTCAGCATTCTCTTTTCAAGTCATGTGCTCATCAAAATCATTTCTGTTTCTTTGGATTCTAAGTTCTTATTCATTACAAGTTTTAATTGACAGTGTTTATTTTCCTGCATGATGTTTTTGGAATAAGGCCATTCATGAGAGCAGTTTAATTAGCAAGTCTGCCACTCTATTCAAACCCTGAATCAAGGCTCATATCTGACTATCTAAAAAGAAAAAAATTTTAAATGTACACTCATTTGTAAGTGTAATATTATAAATTCTGTGCTTATTTCCTTTGGTATAAAAGGTGAGAACAAAGGTCATCCACATTGTTAAGGGTTGCCATCTAGGAAGCATTTCTTAATCATTTGTTTTCTTATATTGTAAATAATTGATGTGCCACTTATTTCTGCAAAAATAGACTTGAAGTGGTTGGGATATTCATCATTGTGATAGGATCCACTTAAAATATTGATCTGTTTTGACTTGTGCCTCTGAACTCAAGGCCAGACTGAAGGATAATATTGGTATGGCAGGGCACAGATAAAGTATCTTATTCAGTCTTCTGTGATCGGATATTTGAAGACTTTACATGGGACCAGAGGACTACTTGCTTCTTTCTGCCGTGACTCCCATAGTCTCCCAAGTCCCTTTATGGTGTTTTAAAAAGTAACAGAAGTAACAAAATTACTTTTTTCAAAATAATTTTGTGAGACATTCATATATATGACATAAATATAAGGCTGTAATAGCAGGATTTGGAAATTGAAATCCTGAAACTGCATATGTTTGGCCACTGGGACCACTGAGGCACCTCCAAAAACTCTCTGTAGTACCTCCAAGCATAATTTAAAACCCACCAATCCCGTAAGGGTTTATTTAACTGTTGAGTGATCAGTAAGGAGTAGTAGTAGTGTTAGAAGCTCAACTGGAAAGGGAGCTTGGAGGACTCAAGAGAGACTATTTAAAGAAGATAAAACTTCATAATACAAACTTCTGCTACCAACTTAAGCATGAAAATAGATTCAGCTAACAGAGCAAGGGAAGTAATTGATAGCTTTAATGCCCACTAAATTATTACAGATAATAGACATCTTTTATGATGATGTCTTCTAATGATAATCAGTTGAATGCTTTTGCAAGGCAGACTGACAGATTTTAATTTTTTTTTGAAAAATTGCCAGAGCCTTTTTAAGCCAGTATTCTAAAATCCAGTCTTTTAATTGGACTTTTGATGTTGGGAATACTATAGTATACTAATGCTTATCTTTATTTCTACAGAATCCAATTTTAATACCCATTAGTAGATGAATATCGTGCTTTCAAAATCGAAGCAGGTCCTTTAAATTTAGAAGTTTCAGCATTATTATCATGCCTTGATTCAGTCACTTCTTTTAAGATATTATCTTTTGACTTATTTGATGATTCCAAACATGTGATATTGTGTTGTTCTTCTATAATCATTTGAAGTCTGTTCACTGATGCTTTGTAATAGTTACATTATTGATATAGCCATTACTGCTTAATATTAACTCACCGAGCAAAAGCAATCATTTATTTTCATTCTTAAAGTAGGGGAAGAAGAGCCTTAATTTATTAGTTCTACTTTTTTTCCTGCATTACTGATTTGTAAACATTTCACCATGAATAATTTGTCCTCTGTCATTGTCCACTGTATTTAAGAAAAGAGAAAAAAAGATCAAACATTAGAGAAGAGAAAAACAGTAATAATATACTTATAGCCTAGTGCTATAAAATACATTATGGTGAGGTATTTTGATGCCTTAAATTGTATTCTGTTACAATTATTTTTATTTTGTTGCTCAACAAATTTCAGTCAAATATTGGATTTGAAGGTGGTTTTTCAATTTAAAATTGAAATGTAAGAGTGTCACCTCCTTAAATTCATTCTCAAATACTATGTGATACAAGAAACTTAGGCAAGCTATTTTAATGCTATAATATTTCTCATTGAAAAATTTAAGAGTTTAGAAAATAAATCTCTCAATTATTCTCCCCTTAGCTAAAAGAAAGGAAACTTTTAATATGTAAGTCTGTGAATTTTTATTATCACTGAAAGAATTTTAGCAGTACTTTATACTGTAATACCTTAATTTGCCTTAGGGCATGGGGTTTTAGAAATTTCTAAGGAAGACTTCATCATCCTTGTTAAAGTTTGAATAACTTCATCAGATAGTGATTTAGTATGTAATGAAGGGACATTCAACCTTGGACTGTCTGCCATCTAAATATATGGATTTCATGGTGGCACTTGAAGCACATTTTAAGAATATTATGATATTCTATTGTCCTGCTGAATTCTTCATTATAATACTACCTCAAGACGAATGATAGAATGTCTGTTAAAATAAATTGGGTTTCCAGTATGAGGATCAAATAAAATTTTACAAATAGACGTGATCAAATAATTAAACAGTCAAGACCATGCTGGATCTTTGTTGTCAATTACCTCTTGACAGTAGGGTAATATGGATATTTCAGTCACCAGTGATGAATAACATAGTTATCACCCGAAGAGTTATGTGAAGGGGTTTCAATCTGCAAAATTTAAAGATAATTAGTTCCCTTTAAGACTGGTTTTCTACATGGTCAATTTTATGTCCATTCACCTGAAGCTGCAAAAAATTGCCCACTCTTAACAGTTAAAGGATTAAAATACCCAACTGCTATACCAGAATGGCAGACTGAATATTCAAGTATTCTAGCATTGAATGCCTACTAAATTTTTGTCAGATTATAAATTTGATGTATATTACTACCCAGTAAATTTTTCTTGGGAATTTTGTATACACTCTGATATATTAGGATAAGTTTTTGTAGTTCAAAGGAATTTCAAATAGTTTTTAGACAAAACATATCCATGAGTGTGAAAAAGCTGTGTTGAAGAATAGATTGCATTACACATTTACCAGCAAGTCAGTAAAAAATAGTGCTTATTTACATAGTCAGCATAATTTAATGTCCTGAAAATAATTTCTTCAATTGCCCAATATTTAATGTATCATTTGAGATTTTAAAAAATACAGCCACTCCTTTATGTAAACATTAAGACATGTCTATGTTTCTTTAACTCTACAGCCTTCTTTACAATAAATTTATTGACTTTTGTGCACAAAATAGTATTGCAACCTGCTATTTAGCCTTTGGTGCCTTAGAGTTACTATAAATATTTAACAATATGTACATAATGTAAATACTGCCAAAAGATCACTAAGGCCAAATATTTTCTCTATTCACTTTTTACTGCACTTGCTTTCTATTGCTACTTAAGCCTCTTTTATCCAGCTTTGTAATAGTTCTAACATTGTAGCCAATGTAAATGTTTACTTTCAATAAATCTGAATTTGTTCAACAAGTATGGTATATGTGGGCACTATTTTGAAAACTCGGTTAGGCCTTAGATATTCCTCATGATGAATCTTGCTTCTGGGGACTAGATATTTGAAGTTAACAAACTCTAAAAATGATGCTGCCCTTTTTACTTAAAAATACTTTAAAAATAAGAGCACATAAAAGAAACACTCTTCTTGCCAATATTCCCCCAACTATTAATAGTTGCGGTAGATTTATTTGGTCATGTGAATACCATTTTAATTTCAAGTTCCATCAAGAAATACAGAATTCAAACAAAATATTTTTGTACATTTTATATTTATATATGCTCTGTTTATAAACCCACTGGCATGGTATCAACTGGAGCATCTCAAATGAACTGTCCCAACTTCTCTAAGCATTCTGACTTGATTACTAATTGGAAATGGATTGTTAAAGCACCGCTTTTTATAAAATGCATTTCATTAGCTGAATAAGATATTAGTCCATAAATAAATACTGTTCTCTAAACACTTTAGTAGTAAATATTTGTGAAGAGCTAAGTTTATATTTTCATAATAAATATTTTACTTATGTTACCTTTATAGCTGTGAAATGACAGATAACAGATTTCTGTTTTCTAGGTTTGATTTCAGTAACTCTAGAAATATTTGTTAAGAGTTTGGGTATGTATCTTGATGGTCAGTATAAGGAATAGAGAATATTAGATTTTGTGTTGACCTCATAGAGCTTTCAATCTATTTGGAAAATGAAAACATATACTTCTGGAAATAATTCAAAGTCAATGATGCTGAATGGGAAAGACCAACAGTACAGGCAACAACCGAGGAGATGGCTTGGGAGATCTGTGGGCATTAGGACAATTAATCGTCTGTCCCCTATCTGAGGACAAAGTCTTTAAAACAAAGATAGAAGGAAAGCTGGTATAAGACAGAACAAAGGCTTCCAGATGAAAGACTTAAGTGAAGCTACACAAGCTCCTGAATACTTTTATATTTATTGAAATAAAAACTGCAATCCAAATGGCATTTTTATCCTTTAATCCTTTGTTAATAGGACACTTAATCCTTAAATTAGTGTTGATGAGTAGTATACTACTAATTTCCATTTACTTATTCACCACTTTTTCATAATCTTTCCACAACAAAGTTACAATGATTTGCTTGTATATCTGCTTTTGCTTTGTTGTAGATAATACATATATTAAAAAGCACTTAACTGTGTTTAGTTTTGGATTGCTCAACCAAATTTTTAATGATTATCTTTTTGACTTCATGGCTCAGTCTTACTGGCTGCTGAAGCTGTCATTCCCTCTAACAGAGAATGACATTTCTCCTCATAGGAATGTAGCTGGCAAGAGTGTTGTTCTGCATTCCAAGTTAACTAAGTAAAAGTTATACAGGCCACTTTTTTTGAAAGCCAGTGTTGAGAATTCGCTGAATAGTTGGCCTCTATCTCTGTTCCCAACTTCCAGGTCCCTTTTTAAAATTATTTCAAATAGTAGTCATTTGTAACTTGTATCTAAAAAGCCTGAAATTTTCAAAGATACCAAATATATATACATAGTTTTAAAATCATGTATTCTGGAGTTTCAGATAAGAGTAATTTTTAGTTAGATAAGATTTGCTTTATGTAGATCTTGATAGTTTAGAAAGCACTTATCTCATTTTCTCATCAACATAACTGTAGAATGTGTTAGCAGATATGTTTATCTTGTGTAGATGAGAACTTAAACACCTTGCCAAAGGGATCCCTAAACTCCAAACCTAGGGTAAGTGTTTCTTAATCTCATCTTTGTCCTCCTTCTAATAAATTATGTTCATTACTATTGAGATCCTCACTTGGCAAAATGGATAGCAAGTGTAAGAATAACAGCAGACTCCCAGGAAGAGTTAATAAAGAGTTAAGTCTGGTTGCTTTGAAGAGTTCTGTCAAGGAGTTGTTCAATACAATAGCACAGGCTGGGTGGTGTGGTTTTATTTTGGAGAATCTGGAAGGAAAGAAACCTGCACTTGACCGCCATGGAAAAATCGCTGTCAGCCCTTGGATGGGTGACCTCATGAAAGCGGAGATTTGGAAGCATGCTGGCAGCGGTATTCAGAAGGATTTCAGAGGAGACAGAAAGCAAGAAACATTGAAAGTCAGTTTTAGTAATCCTGACAGGTACAAAAGCTTGTAGATAAGGAAGTGAGAAAAAGAATGGGTAGAAGAAATGAAGAGGATTTAGGAAAAAGCAATAAATTAGGAAGCAAGCAGCTAAATGTATATGTTAGAGATCATGATATAAATTGAGGACAATTTTCCCCTCAACTTTGTACTGGAGACCAATTAAAATTCTCCTAGTCTTTTTAGTGTTCAGGAAAGAGAGGACCATCTGAAGACAATGGCCTCTCAATGTTCTCTCCACAAAGAAGCCTGAAAACACACATTTAGCCAAGTGAAGGGGAAGTGTAGGGGAGGGATGTTCTGGGCCATAAAGGGACATGTTTACAAACACACTTCACCTCCTCCTGTCAAAGCAGGCTTGCTAAACACAGATCTGTAAGAGAAAGGTGGCAGGAGTTTGGTTAAGTTTTGTCTGTTATGATGTGACTTATCATTTCCCAGGAAATGGCAACCCACTCCAGTATTCTTGCCTCACAGACAGAGGAGCCTGGTAGGCTACAGTTCATGGGGTCGCAAAGAGTTGTACACAACTCAGCCACTAAGTGCAAGTCCATCAAATTGTCTAATTGTGTGTGTGTGTGTGTGTGTGTGTGTGTGTGTGTGTGTGTTCAACGCGTTGTAGCAGGGGCAACACTGAAGACTCATCACTCAGGACGGTGGCCTCTTACTCTTCACACTCTGCTTGGGAGACACTGTCCGCCATGAATGGCTCCAGTTCCCACTTGTTGTCTGATGACTTCTAAACAGCTCTTGTTCCTGCCTCTTCCCTGAGTTCAAATTCATAAGATCAAATACTGCCAGACAAACACCTCTTCCTCGGTGCTCCTAGGATACCTCAGATAAACTCTAACCAGTATCCCCACCCCTCACCATTCTCTCCTCTTGTACTCTCCAAAAACCAGTCAACACCATCCACCTGTTGACTCAAACCAGGAGGCAAGTTGTCCACTATTCCCTCCTGTCAATCAGTCCCCACCAATCAACAGCCAGATCATTTTAATTCCCCTTTGTGATTGTCTTGAGTGCGTTCAATTTTCTTGGTCTCTTCTGTGGCTTCTCTTGTTAACTTTTATGTGAGTTATGTCAATATCTTCCTGTGATTCTCCTTGATTGAATCTGAAACCCTCTCCCTGGAATAGACATTGAGCTAGCAAATATGAGCACAGCCTATGACTGTTAATATTCTGAGTGTTAGACATGTATGTTAGTAAAGAGACACTGCCTCAAGCCTCACATGCCCAGATGCAGGAATTAACTAAGGGTTAACTCAGTTCACAACAGACTCTCCTACATTTGGTCCCTACTAAATAGGCTACTAGATACATATGTTTAAATTTTATTGAAGTATAGTTGATTTATAATGTGTTAATTTCTGCTATACATCAAAGTTATCCAATTACACACACACACACATATATATATATATTCTTTTTCATATTTTTTCCATTACAGTTTATTACATGATATTGAGTATAGTAGGCTTCCCAGGTGGCACAGTGGTAAAGAACCCACCTGCCAGTGCAGGAGACACAGGATATGCGGGTTTGATCTCCGGGTGGAGAAGATCCTCTGGAGAAGGGAATGGCAACCCATGCCAATTTTCTTGCCTGGATAATTCTATGGACAGAGGAGCCTGGTGGGCTACAGTCCATGAGGCTGCGAAGAGTCAGACATGACTGAGCACACAGACACACATGCTTACTACATTCTGTACCATTAATATAGTTGCCTGTGCTATTCAGTAGAACCTTATCTGTTACTATCACAACTGCCTTGACACCCTTACATTATGCTAAAGCGAATGTGATCTTCCTAAAATGCAAATCTGAGTTTAAAAACGCTTGTCATTTAAAGAAATAAAAACTTCTGGCCCCTGTGTCCCTCTTCCCTCTCCAGCCCATTGTTCACCACTGTCCCTGGTGGTGAACACCACCTGAGTGATTTGCAGTCCAGAGGATAGCCCAAAGCTACTCACCTCCTGTCACAGGCTTTTTCTGCCTGCCTAAGACAACCTGACCCCCTGTCTCCAATTTTCACTCCTTGGCCCTCAATCTGTTTTCACTTCTTTCAGAACCTCCCCTTGTACTCCCAGTCTGGACCAGATGTTTCTTCTAAATATTCTCAGTGTCTGACCATCACTCAGTTGTCTCACTCAGCATACAGTGAAAGGGTATATTGATTTGTTTGCTTCTTTCTCCTGGTCACCCCTCCTCTATGCCACCAGGCACAGATTATTTTCAGTACCTAGTAAGTCTTTGGCACTTAGTAGGCACACAAAAAAGTAAATTATAAATGTCTGTCTGATGAAAATGGTCTTCAAACAACGTGATGTTAAAGTCAAAAAATACGTACACAAATTGTTTCCAATACCAGGTTAAGTGTCACTTAATAAGCACACAAAAAAAGTAAATTATAAATGTCTATCTGATGAAGGTGGGGCTTCCCAGGTGGTGCTAGCAGTAAAGAGGAGACATGAGATTCGGGTTCGGTCCCTAGGTCAGGAAGATGCCCTGGAGAAGGGCATGGCAACCCACTCCAGTATTCCTGCCATAGCCAGAGGAACCTGCCGGGCTACAGTCCATAGGGTTGCAAAGAGACACAGCTGAAGCAACTTGGCACACACACGGACACACACACACACACATCTGATGAAGGTGGGCTTCCAATAAAGTGACACTAAAGCCAAAAATATGTCTTATAATTGGCACGTAATATTCATAAATGTATACAACTACCTAGCGGAGGGACTATAACAAACCAAAGCTAACATCATCATCACCCTGGGCTCCAGCTCCATCACCTGCCAGAAAACAGAGGAATCCCTAGATGTGGGCTTCCCTGCTGGCTCAGATGGTT